ATGCCCTCTGAAGCGGTACCTATTGATCTACTCATATTTGCATGTTTTTGAACTGCTAGGTTGGTAGAGGCTGCGGTTAACAACAGGAGCTCACCTCGCTCCCCGGGTTCGAACTGCCGAACTTTTGGTCAGCAAGTTAAGCAGCTCAATTGTTTAACCTGGTGCACCACCAGGGAGGCCACCTGTACATTATATAATGCACATATCTCTATGAAATACATATATTAAAAGACGCAATAAAACGAGTTTAAAATTCATACTTAAAATTGACTGGGTTTAATATTTTTGATTTTTATACCGATACATAAACCATGATGTCAGAGAGAAGTATTTTTGGTGGTCTCTGCTACTTGGAATCTTCTGTTTTGTTAAGATGGCATTTATTTATATACCATACTTGTTATATTTGTCCTCTCATGAACTCAAGGGAGCTGCACCTAGCCCTCCCCTTCCTACAATATCTTCAGAACAACCCTGTGAGGTAGGCTAAGCTGAGAGAAAGTGACTGACCCCAGGGCAACCCTTGCCTTCATGGTCCAGGAAGGACTTGAAAGTGAATTCCTTACACTCCAATACCCTCAAGTCCCATTATATGCAGTAGAATAGTAAAATGGTGTCCTTTATGTAAATCAGTTTGGGTTTTGTAATGAACCAGCTGGCTGTAGCACAGCTGGTTAATCACTAGCACCAATAATCACTGCCTACCAGAAGGTGGCAAGTTCAAAGCAAGTTCGAGTTGGGTTTGAGCTCCCGACTGTTAATAGCTAGTTTACTGTTCACCTAAGCAGTTCGAAAACAGCTGAGCTGTAAGTATAGAAATTAGGGACTGTTTAAAGCAGGGAGGTTAATTTATGACACTATAAAAATGCCAGAGATCAAAGAACAAGGGTGAAATACTATGATCAAAGGTTTGGCGTCATAGTGGATGAAGCGACAGCTCCCCACTTTGGCTGGAATCGAGCAACCTCCAGGAGCTGAAGTTGGTAAAAATGCTGAATTACCACTATCTGTCTTGTATGTCTAACAATGGCACTGAATGTTTGCTGTGTATGTGTGCATTGTGATCCGCCCTGAGTCCTCTTCGGGGTGAGAAGGGTGAAATATAAATACTGTAAGCAAATGCATATATATTTTCAAGATGTGGATTGTGGCATCCATGTATGCATAATCCGTGGGCATGGAAGGCGGACTATACAACATCGATAAGAAATCTCCAGAGTAGGTGGAGACCAGCGTTGATCACTGCATCCTCTAGCAAGTGCAACAAATCTTCCAGACTCTCTCATTTAAAGAAAAACCTCTCAAGGTGCCAAACCACTGGAGAATGCAATAACATCACTTCTTGTTTCAGTTCAGACAATTTTCAGTCATTTATTTTTTTGAGTGGGGATGGACATTAAGATATTGTGAAACATTCACAATGGCTTTGAGTTTGGAGAAGGTTATGAGTGAAAAAAATCTAGTTTATTTTTAAATTAGGGGGTTTATGGGCTTTAAGGGCGTTACAAGGACCAAGTGGACCATGGGCTATATTTTGCCCACTCCCATACTACCCAATCACAGCCCTGTCATTCCATTTTAACTACCCTGGAATCATGGGCCATCTAGTCCAACCCCCCCCCCCCCGAATCATAAAGGATTCTTCTTGAAATATTGTGCACCAGTGAACATGTTTTGGACAAAGAGGAGGAAGCCATCCTGGTTTCTCTATATTTATTTTTATTTATCTATTTACCATATTTATATTCCGCTCTTCTCACCCCATAGGGGACTCAGGATGGATTACAATGCACATATACATGGCAAACAATTATGGCAATTAGACAGACAACATATATAGACAGACACAGTGGCAATTTAATATTCCAGCTTTCTGGCTTCTTGAGTTTACGTTCGATTCTGGCTCAATTCTGGCCACAGGGGGAGCTGCTGCTTCATCGTCCATCAGTGACACCGAGTCCTTTTGATGGAGTACTTCCTCGTTCTTTCGCATGCTGCTGGAAGGTTTTATGGTGCCATTAATTAGTTAAATTAGCTTCCCTGCATAAAGCGGTACGTAAATTTCCTACTTGACAGATGCAATTGTCTTTTGGGCTGCAAAGGTTGACAGCAAGCTAGACTAATGGCTGGAAGCTCACTCCACCCTGATTGGCTTTGAACTCTTGACTTCTCGGTCAGTAGTGATTTAATTCAGCTGTCTATCAGCTAGCTGTGCCACAGCCCAGTCTATATGAAAACATTCCCTGAACTTAACACTCATCTTACCCAAAATAGAGTTTGTATATGTATAACAAGTTTCCTCTCAAATCCAGCAACAGAGTGCAGTATTGTCCCCAGTTTGAATAGCTTGCCTTAAAAGTGTAGACGACACATTTAATCTTTTATCCTAGAAATGACAACTGCGCATTTCCTGCAATCCCACCGGAATGGAAGATAGATAACTCCATCTTTCATATAAATGAGAAATGCTAAGTAGTGTGTGAAATAATAACTTCTTTTCCAGGAAGAAAATAAAAGCCAAGCAGAAGAAAAATCTCTTTGAACACAAACCACTTACTATGAAAAATATGACCAAGTATCAGAGAATAGAATGATCAACGTAAAGAGGTCTCAGGCAGGAAGAGAATGTCTCTAAGCAGGAAAATCTGAGCTGTAGGTGCTTTTTAAATTTTCAAGCATGGTTATTAATCAGAATTTAAATTTGATCCAGGGATGATCATAGACCATTTTTGTGCCATTTCAGTAAAATGAGAAACAAGCAATTTCAAAATCAGGATTATTTCTTATTACCTCTGACCCATGGTCTCCCTTATCCCCAGCTTATATCTTTGATTACAGTGGACTACCAGTGTATCTTGTCTTCTGTGCACCTTGTTTTTATTAAGGGCCCATCTACACTGCCATATGAAGAAGTTTCAGAATGCATGATACAGCAGTGTAGACTCATATCATCCAGTTCAATGCAGTTAAACTACATTCTGAAACTGGATTATATGGTAGTGTAGATGAGGCTCCATTTGCTGTTAGGAATTGTGGGAGCCGAAGTCCAAAACATCTAGAGGACCAAAGGTTGGGAACTATTGGTTTAAAGAATACTAACGGGAGATGGATTTGTAACTGGTTGACAATCTGAGCCCAAATAGTGCTCCTCAATGGTTCCTTTGTCATCTTGGAGAGAAGAAAATAGTGGAGTGTTCTGGGGTTCCATCCTTCACCCAGTTGTTCAACTTCTTTGCAAATGACTTGGATGATGGAATAAAAGGCATGCTTATCAAAGTTTCAGATGACATCAAACTGGGGATGGCTTTAACAGATTGCAGAGCTTGGGCAAAAACTATCAAAATGCATTTCCATAGGGACAAATATAGGATATTACATTTAGGCAGGAAAACCCTAATGCACCAATATGTAGGATGTGTGACATCCTGTAGAGGTGAAAAAGAATCTAGGCAGGCCCGTAGCCAGGATTTCATTTCGGGGGGGGGGGCTGAATTTTTTTCAGGGGGGTTTCGGGGGGGGGGCTGAGTTTCGGGGGGGGGGGGGGGGGGGGGTCTGAGTCTGAGTGAAAGAGGGTCTAGCCTAGCAAACCTTTTGTATCATTACCCCAATACCCCCATGCATATGGGATATATTGAGTATGGTGATCAGATCATGATATGAATAAACATAACAGTTTAAATAATGCACCAGTAAGGCCTTTTCGCGAACCACCATGAGAATTTCGGGGGGGGGGGGCTGAAGCCCCTCAAGCCCCCCCCACCCCCGGCTACATGCCTGAATCTAGGGATCCAGAGTAAAAGCACAGTTGGAGCCTGACAGAAATCCCCAGCCAGAAAGTCTGCTAGAGATTTGGGGAGTTCTAGTAAAAAGAAATACACCTTTCCAAGCTTTGGTGGGTGTATCATGAATGCTGCTTTGATGGAGTTACATATGAGAGGCAGAATGGCCCTGGAAGGGATGAGGCAGTTGTTTGACTCCTGCAGTATGCAGCACATTGGAATACACCAGTGATTCTTGAGTTCTCTGATATGGGGGACCAACAGAGCTTTTTTATCCTTGATGGATCAGGGATTGGCCCCATATTTATGACTGTTTACTATAACTGATTATTTCCTGGAAACTCACTGCAAAGTGGCAGCTCATGGACCTGCACCAGTCCATGGATCACCACTTTAGAATCACAGAGTTGGAAGAGGTCACAAAAGTCATCCAGTCCAATCCCCTGCCATGCAGGAACACAACATCAAAGCACCCTCGAGAGATGGTCCTTGTGATGCTTCAACTAGCACTGGAATAGACTAGTTTTAAATTTATTTATTGTATCAAGAGTGAACCAACCGTACAGTTGTATTGTATTTAAAAAAACAAAGTTTGAAAACTTGGCATTATATTAAATGTCCTTTGACCAGAAGCTAGCCAATTCAAAGTGCTGGTTTTGACCTATAAAGCCCTATACGGTTCTGGCCCAGCTTACTTGTCCGAACACATCTCCCTCTATGTTCCGCCTTGCAGTTTAAGATCATCCGGGGAGGCCCTGCTCTCACTCCTGCCAGCATCGCAAATATGGCTGGCGGGGACAAGAGACATGGCCTTCTCAGCCGTGGCCACCCACCTATGGAACTCGCTTTCCATCGAGGTAAGATCGGCTTCATTCCTCCTGTCTTTTAGGAAGAAATTGAAGTTGTGATTCTAGGACCAGGCTTTTGGACAGCAGGCATAAATAGCACTTTGGATATGGAATTCAACTGGAATGATGATATGGCTGTTAATACTGTTTTAATTGTTTTTAATGAATGCTCTAGTTATTGTTTTAATTGTTATTATATTGCTTTGTTATATGTAGTGGCATTGAATTGCTGCCAAATGTAAGCTGTCCCGAGTTCCCCTTCGGGGTTTGAGAAGGAACAAGGTAGAAATAATGGAAATAATAAATTTTCCAGCAATTTATTTTTCTGGAATCTAATGAAATTTCTCTCTCCTTTTTCTGCTTACAAAAAAAGGAAACAGAAGAACAAACCTGAGATAAGCACCATCGCAGCCAAAATTCAAGATGGCAACTCACGGCCAGCTACCAAATGATTCCTGTGCAAATAGCTCGGCTCCCATTTTCACAGGCCTGGATCTCCTCTTCGAACTGAAGCCTCTCTTCATCCCTCTCTATGCCCTTCTAGTCCTTGTGGCCTGCACTGGCAATGTTCTCCTTATTGTTTTGATTGGTTTCACCAAAAAGTTGCACAGCACCACAAATTTCCTCATTGGGAACTTGGCAGCGGCTGACTTAATCATGTGCATTTTCTGTGTCCCCTTGACTGCTTCTTATGCGTTTGAAATGCGTGGGTGGCTCTTTGGGACGTTCATGTGTTACTTTGTCACCCTCATGCAAGTGGCAACCGTGTTTGTATCTGTCCTGTCCCTCACAGCAATCGCTGTGGACCGATATGTTGTTGTAGCTTACCCCATCCGCAAAAGAATCCAATGCAGGTCCTGTGTCTATATAGTGGCTCTCATTTGGTTACTCTCCATCATGGTCTCCATACCCACCTCCATGCACACCCATTACCTGGATCTAAACAGCATTGGTCATGACATGATCATTTGTGAAGAGTTCTGGAAACACCACAAGATGGAGAGGCGCTTGTATTCTTGCCTGATGCTCCTTTTATCCTACATGCTCCCACTGTTGTCTGTGTCCATTTCTTATTGTGCCATTTCTTATCATCTCCAGAAGAGAAAAGTCCCAGGAGCTGCATGCCACAGCCAGGAAAAGTGGGCTAAAAAAAAGCAGAAGACCTTTCGGATCCTAGTTATCGCTGTCATGTGTTTTGCTTTCTGCTGGCTCCCCCTTCAGGTGGTTAACCTGATCCGAGATATTGATGAGGAATTTGCCATCCTTGACAAGAGATACGTGAATGTCATCCAAGTGTCCTGCCATCTTGTTGCAATGAGTTCGGCGTGCTTCAATCCATTCATCTACGCTTCCCTCCATGACAAGTTTCGTTTCCACATTGGTAACTATTTTTATCACAGGAAGAAGTCAAGCATCACGTCATGCAAGGTCTCCCGGCTGACCACCTGCTCCACTTTGGCAGATAGTCCTGGGATCATCTCAGAGAAAATAGCACTTCAAGTTGGGCCCAAGCATCATTCAGGGGGACCCAGTACAAAGTTGTAAGTTGCCTACACACATCCCATGAATCAGTTGCAGCCCATATGCACAGTTTTCATGAATTGTGGGGAAAATCTTACTATTTAATTCTGTAAAACATACTATACATTTCCAAATGCCTGATCAATGGGACTACAGCCAGGGCTGGAGGTGGAAAGGGATCTCCAGACCCCAACAAAGTATATGCTTTCTGTCCCCTAGGATTGCATGCTGTTGTGGATCCTGTGTGGGGAGGAAAGCAAAATATATTTTAAATAAATAAATAAAATAAAGCTTGAGAAGTTACTTCATAAAATTGGGAGGTTTCTTCTTTGGAGGCTTTTAAGCAGAGGCTGGATGGCCATCTCTCAGGGGTGCTTTGAATGTGATTTTCCTGCTTCTTGGCAGGGAGTTGGACTGGATGGCCCATGAGGTCTCTTCCAACTCTATGATTCTATGAAAAGTGATTACCTTTGTAACTCATTACACAGTCCCAACAAAACTGTATTACTTCGTCATTTTATTTGTCGTATTCCTAATTACATGTAAATTTTAAAAGTTAAGATGTCTTGAACCAAGTATAATGACGAGAACAGCATCAAACATTTAACATTCTACATAAACATCTGTAAAAATGTCTTAAAATGTGTCTGAGAGGTAATTTTGAAAAATAACTAGAAATTGTTCCTCTTCTTTTTGTCTTGTTTCCATACATTATATCAGGGGTCCTCAAACTATGGCCCGGGCACCGGATACGGCCCTCCAAGGTCATTTACCCGGCCCTGAAATGACTTGAAAGCACACAACAATAATAACAATCCTATCTCATCAGCCAAAAGCAGGCCCACACTTCCCATTGAAATACTAAAAAGTTTATATTTGTTTAAATTGTTCTTCATTTGAATTATTGTATTGTTTTTAAATGTCTTTTACACTACAAATAAGGTATGTGCCGTGTGCATAGGAATTCATCCATGCTTTTTTCAAATTATAATCCGGCCCTCCAACAGTTTGAGGGACTGTGACCTGGCTTCCTGTTTAAAAAGTTTGAGGACCCCTGCATTATATGATACCTTTGAAATATAACTTCATCACGGTCTCATTATAAAAAAGTACTGTATATAAAACATTAATTTGGTGCAGGTAGGTATTTTTCTCATGCTGAGCATATTTTTCCTGAGCTTTTATTTTGTGTGAAATAAATTTTGCAACCTGCATAGCTAAATTATTCTTGACAAATAAAATCTTGTAAAATAAAGACGTATTTCTTTGAAAGTATTATAACAAAGGTGTGGCAACAGATGGCATTTTGGGATGAACTAAGCACATTCAGCAAATCTGAGAAATTAGTTGGTCCATATCAGGCATGTTGGAGCATATAAGAAATTGGTTAATGTGTGTGCGTCAACTGTAGAATAAGATGCATGAAGCTAACATTTTTCAGGCTTGACCTATGCAGATGTTTGCAGAGAAACAGAGAGAAGCAGATAGAGACACAGTTTGGAGTGTGCTTTTGCTTTATCAGTTGCCGAAGGTGTTTCTCCACAAAGACAAAGAAAGACCATTTTAAATCTCTTATAAAAGGACATTATGTTAGTCGATGCAACTGATTACATGATTGTAAATATGTTGTTCTGGATTATGAAGAGTAAACTACTTGTTATTTACTGTTCATTTGTGTTGCATATCTTTTTTCTGGCAAGGCAGTGTGTAGACTGGTCAAACATGACCTACACTTGATTTTAATTTTGTCACAAGGTATGGGAAAACTTTTTTGCCTTGGGGCCACATTGTGGGCCTGACTGAGAGGGCGGGGAGAAGGGCGGCTAGGCATGGGCTGGGTGAAATGGGCCAAGGAGGGAGAGGGCCTGTGATAGGGTGGGGCCGCGATGTGGCATGACAGGACCCGGGTCCTCCTGAGGTTTATTTATTTATGATATTTCTATTCCGCCTTTCTCAGCGGCTTACAAATTGGCAGCAATTCGATGCCATAACAGTCCACAGTATACAATTAAAAACAATAAAACAACATTATAAAATCCATACAAACCCATTAAAAATATATAAAAAACAATATCTTCCTGTTAATCTCATTTTCCAGTAGCATTGTCTAGGCCGTTCCATGTTTCATTATTTCGTAGTTCCATGTTTATCTGTTACACTGCATTTTCAAAGGTTGTCCTCCTGGCATCATCATAACAACAACAACAACAACAACTTTATTTATAACCTGTCCTATTTCCTCAAGAGGACTTGGGGCTGCTCACTCCATGCTTATGCTGGGAGGAAAACAAGACATGTGGTGGCTGAGAGCCCTCCAGAGGGCTCTGAGCTGCTGTGTGCCTTCCTCCCCTGTCCTTGCTGCATAAGGATGCAGTCCTTGTCCTTGCTGCATAAGGATGAGCCCCCATGTTTTTATGCTGGGAGGACTGGGAAAATGAGGAGGGCCTGAGGTAAGCACCCAGGGGGCCACATCCGGCACCTGGGCTTTAGTTTGCCCATGCCTGGTCTATATTAGTTCAAAAATAAATGTTTGAACAAGTCACAAACATGTGAAACAGCTTTTCTTCTTCCATGCTGGAATAGTATGTTTTATAAAAGCCGATCTCATGTATCAGGTTTATGGTATAAAATGCCTACAAATGACTTGCATGCGATTTCCATTTTCTCCAGTTCCTTTGTGCACCACAGCAGATGCATTGCATTTTCCTGCAGAACATTCATAACTTTGGCTGTATTGTAATGCATACATTGAAACTATTTTCACCAGAAGCTGGATGAAAAAGAAAAGAAATTAAAATCAAGGTTGTGAATCCATTGTGGTGAAGTGTTCTAATGTCGGCTCCGTACAAAGAACAAATTGTGGCATTCAAAGATACATCAGAAAGGAAAGTGCCTCAGTTAACAATTGATGGTAGTAGATAATGCACTTACCTGTCAGATGACAATTGTGTTTTTCTGTTTCTTATATTTTGGGTAGCACTGAAATATCAATCTACTATATCTCTCAAGTGAGACATGGAACTGGAATGACCCCTGATACCGGGCAAGAAGGCAAACACACAACAAACCGTAACTTTGGCCAAAGGATCTATCAAGTCCCAGCACCAATTTCAGTTTGATTTACTCACAGCACTGGTCAAGATAAAGTTTAAGCACCAGTATTTTATAGAACTTCACACAGACATTAATGCAGCATGCATGAACGACATCTAATACATAAATGCTAATATAGGAGTTATTGAAAAAGGAATTGAGACAAACACATGTGTATTGTAAATCTACATTTGAGTAGTTAAGAGATATTACATTACATAATCTTTCTGTTATTTCCACAATGTGCTTCCTGTTTCTACAATCCCAGTGACCTGAGTGGTACATTGAAAGCACCAAGGAGTCATTATGCACCATCCAAAAATGTGCAAGTGTGTGTACACCATTTACATAGGCAGAATTGTGTTGTGTTGAAACAACTGTGAACTGACTGTGAACTACTTTTATGCAACTGTGAATGCTACATCATGGTCAAAACAATACAACCAAGTGAATAATGGAACTAACAGTATACCAACCATAATATTGTAATGCCAGAATACACAACCATCTTGAAGTCATTCTTCCAGTACTAGCTAGTATTCTACATTGACTAATTATGTCTACATAATTAAGAACATCTATTCGCCTGAACCCCCTAACCACATCAGGTGAAGGAAGTCTGTTCAGTTGCCAGTTGGGCCACAAGGATATTTCCAGTTCATTCCTATCAGTGAGTGAAGCTGGATTGCAGGTTAGATCTTCACTGCATCTTGCACTGCTGTTGGGATGGGGTTGGAAACATTATCCTTCTTGTGTCTCTATTATCTGTTGTGCAGGAGCCCCCAGTGGCACAATGGATTCAACCCTTGTGCCAGCTGAACTGCTGACCAAAAGGTTGGCGGTTCAAATCCAGGGAGCAGGGTGAGTTCCCATCTGTCAGCTCCAGCTCCTCCTGTGGGGACATGAGAGAAGTCTCCCACGGGATGGTAAAACATCTGGGCATCCCCTGGGCAACGTCCTGGTGTGAGAGAATTGGGCAACAGCCAATTCTCTCACACCAGAAACAACTTGCAGTTTCTCAAAACTGACACCAAAAAAATATAAAAATAAATAAAAATAAAAATCTTCTGAGCAGACTTCTTTCATCTGATGCAGCTGCAAGCTGTTAAAATGATGGAAGGGGCATTTACATAGTTTTGCTCAAGGTTAAAATCCATAAATGTGATAGGTTATGAATTCATTTCTGCGATACTGAATTCCAGTGACTGGCTATAGCCCTGGGCACTCTATCTCAAAAAGGATGATGTAGAATAGAAACAATAGAGAAGAGTGTTGCTCATTAATCAGAGGGGCAGGAAGCAAATTCCCTAAGAGAAAAGATAATTTAAAATATATAAGTAAGGAATTGAATATGACAAGGTCTATTAAAGCACTAGAACCACAATGGAATACAATAGAACTAATTAGCAAGGAATGTGAGATAGGATTTCTTCAATAAACTCCCAAAGATCTTGCTGTACGGAGCATAACCTGTGGTGAATGTAAAGTAAGAGTTGGGGATCCGGGTTTCCACGATATCATTGGATTCTATTGCCTGTCAGGAGCCCCCAGTGGCAAAATGGGTTAAGCCCTTGTGCCAGTAGGACTGCTGACGGAAAGGTCGGAGGTTTGAATCCAGGGAGTGGGGTGAGCTCCTATCTGTCAGCTCTAGCTTCCCATGTGGGGACATGAGAGAAGCCTCCCACAGGATGGTAAAACATTTGGGCATCACATGGGCAATGTCCCTGCAGTCGGCCAATTCTCCACAGACGCTACTTGCAGTTTCTTAAGTCGCTCCTGACATGAAAAAGAATTGCCTGTCAGACACAATCATCAGCAGGCAAGTGTTGAGGATTCATAGAGTTCTTATCCAACAACCTCTGATGGGTCAACAATTCTGTACCTCCCTTCTAAATTTTTACTAAGTGAAAAGCTGAACATTTTATCAGGCCATGGTTTTTGAATGACAGGATTAAACACATGTTCATGTATCTTTCCCTCAACTCAGAAAGTTTCCCCATCCCTTGGTGAGTTGGAAATGAAGGTAACATCAACTGAATATATGAAAACTTGTAGTTCTAGACAACATAGCTACAGGTAATTTTTTTGAACCAATGAGATTTTTTTATTATATTTATTTATATCTTGCTTTGTCTCTCTATAAAGAGACCCATGTATGGAACATGGCCATACAGCCTGGAAAACTCACAGCAACCCAGTGATTCTAACCATGAAAGCCTTCGGCAACATACACACCCAAAGCAACTTATTTGAAGAACACACAAACTAGGAGAGGCTGCAGCAGTGTGATTTTCTTGAAACTTCAGGGAAGAATAAGACTTTGTCCCCTCCTCTCCTGCCCCACATTGAGTTACTGGAAAACAAATTAGGTTTGCTCTTTGAAATTACACCAGTGAGTGTTTGCTGAGGTCAAAGAGGGAAAGTAGGAGAACAGAGAAACGGGGCCATTTTAAAAGCAGCTGAAAAAAGTGCAATGACAGCAGTAACAATAGCTGGAGTGTATGTATATATGTACACGTCTGTTGGGCATATATTGGAATCTGCTCTCCTTGCCTGATGAATTCATTTCAAGGCACCAGAATGCAGACCTGTTTCCTCCGACTGCTTTATTTCACGCAAGTAGGAGATGGAGATGTGAGATCTACACAGCTCCCTGCTGCTCCAGGCCCACAGCAAAGCCTCAACTGTTGCATAAAAACACTTGTTCAGCTGTGATTGTTTCAAACACAGCAGTTCAAATACAGCATAGCACTCATCTGTGAAGACTCGGATTATTTAGCTATCACAAGCACAGCGGGCTGCCTTATCCATTTCTTTCAGGCCGAACATTTGGAAGAGCTTTGTGTCACTTAGTAAAAAGAGTATTATTGCTAACCATGCTCAGCCAGTTGAGGAAAATGACTTGCTAAGAGCAATGTAATAGAGGAGAGTGGTTATTAATTCTGCACAGAATGGAATGAAATGGTATTCAACTATTCTGCTCCACAACCTGCACCTATAACACTCTGTATAATGGACAAAAAGAAAGGAACATATTTTTATATTCAATTAAACTTCCTCTGTGTGCTTGCCCGTGCGTATTGCTGTTTCCCTCCCACCCCCCTAAAGTGGAATTTTCCTAACTACTTTTATTCTAGCCAAAAGAAACTCTGAAATACCATCAAGCCAGAGCTTCAGTGATACTTTTAAAAATCCCTTTCAAAGACAGGAAGTCAATGGAAGGTTGACTTTGAGGTTGACAACAACAACAATAATAACAATAACAAAAGCAATAAAATTACTTTATTATTGTTATTATTATAACATTTATTATTACAAGTTGAATATAGGATGGGGCTCCTCCAACTTTCATTCTCATGGAGCAATACAAAGTACCATAAACTCTGTCAAGCAGGACAATAGTACCCGTCCTCTCATACATTCCAAGTTCCAACTTTCAGCTGCAGCCAACCAAACTCAGTTTAGCTATTGCTTACCTGACTGGAAGCAGGAAGTTGGAGTTTGGGGGTACCCACGAGAAGAACAGACCTGGGGG